TTCTTCGTTCTGGTGATCTTCCTCTATAACTTGAGTTATATGGTGATTGATTTCTTGTATAATTTGTATTGTTCGGGAGTGGTTTTCCTGAACTGTTGTTGCTGTGGACTGTTTTGTTCGGTAGATTTTGATCTTTTTTCATGTATTGATAGAATGATTTATTTGGTTCTTTATATTTTTGAGGTTTATTTTGATTATCTTGCTGTTTTTGTCTACATTCGGAAATACTATGTCCGTATCGTCGGCAATAATTACACCATTTTTTGAAAGATGGTTTGCCTTTAAAGTTTGGGTTCTTTTCGTAGATATTGAGTATTTCAGTGATTTTTTCAACGAGGTCTGTCTCTGATTCCTGTATATTATTAATATTAGTGGGAGTCGTTTCAATTCTGTTAACGTAGTGTAATTTCAGATTTTCCGTTTCTTCTAGTTTCATCGTGATTTCTGCTTGTTCTAATTTGTCTACTAGTTTTCGAAAATCTAAATCGGGTTCTCGAATTGAAGAAGGATGTGATGCTCTCTTTTTTATTGCTATTTTCCTTAATTGTGGTGTTAAGGTCATCATTAAGATTTCTGTCATCTTTGTGTTTTTATAGTCATGTGTATTTAATGAATATGCTTTTCGAACTAGTGTTTCGATTCGTACTGCTATTTGCTTGATGGTTTCGTTTGGTAATCTGCGAATTTCATTACATAAAACTCTTTGTTGTTGTTTGTTTCTTTCGGAGTCAAACATTTTTGAAAATTCTTGTGTAAATCTTTTCCAGTTTGATTTTATTTCTAGAGGTAGTACTGAAAACCATTTTTGGGCTGCGCCATCTAAGGTTGTTTGTATTAACGCTGTGCGTCGATGTATCCAATTTTGATGTAGTGGCGTATTAATTGGTTCAGGTCCAATATTTAAAATCAGGTTTGCTGTTACTGCATTTAAATAATCTTCTACAGAGTATTCAGGGTCTGTTCCTGTGAAAACCATTAAAGGTTTGTTTGATGTTATTGATGATCCACCCATAAGGTATGGATTCATTGTCATTTGTAATGATTCTGCTGCATTTGGCATTTGAGAAAAATTTGAAAGTTGGTTTCTTGTTATCTCATGTTGTTGGAGATAATATGGGAGTGGTATTTCATTTTGCATTTGTGATGGTTGATACGAGTGTGCAGTCATTGGATTTTGTTGTTGAATTGGTTGAAAAGATTGTGTATTAATTGGATTTTGTTGTTGAATTGGTTGTTGATTTTGTGCATCTATTGGTTGTGGAGAAAAATTTCTATGATTTGTACGTGTTCTCTGTATTCCTTGTCTACGATATTCTTGAGTATTTTGTGCAAATATATCTGGTTGTAAGAAATCATCATCTGAGGATAAATAATCCATTTGATAAGATGTCTGTTTTTTATTTTTATTTTGTTGAAAAAATGGGTAATTTTCACTGTGATCCCGTGGAGGATTTGTTTGGAAATTTGTTGAATTAGGTTGGGCCATTGGGTTATCCCAATTTCGAGATCTTGTATATTGGTTAAAATTTCTTTGTGGTTGATTATATGTTTTTGATGGATGTGTATAATTATAATTATGGTCTGCAAAGTTGTTTCTAGTGAATGTTTTGCGTGTTTTTGATGGTATTGTCATGGGTCTGTATGTTTGGTAATCCATATGTGAATATTTAGGGGCAACCGAATGTTTAACGGTTGATTGTAAGGTTACCTGTGTTTGTGAAGGATTTGTATTTCTTGGTGTTGTTAAATTTGGGCGTATTGGTGAAATACTTTGTTGTGTAGTTGTTGTGTGTACAATTTCTTCATTTATGAAGTGTGATGGTGTCTGGATATCTTGTTGAGTAAGATTCCTAGTTCCATTGAGGTTTTCATTGTGTATAACTGTAGAGTTTAAACTATTATTTTGTGTATCGGGTAAAAATGTATTATAGTTTAATGGTGTTGCATCAATTGTTAATGGTATTACTCTTACATAATCTCTTATGTAAGATATTGTACCTATTGCTTGACTTGAGATTGATTGTGGAAAGCTTATAAATGCGGGATGAGACCATTCGGGGTCCCAAACATAATCTGATTGTTCTGTGATAGCGGTATCATCGTTCGAGTTTTGGGGTCTAAAATTTTTTCTTGCTTGTGCAATTAAATCAATATTGTGTGTAAAATAATCTATTATGAACCATGCCAAAATTTTTTGTAAATCGTGTTTGGTATGTTGTGAAACGTCGTCTTTCGTGAAATTTTCTTTAATGATGTTTAAATAACTAGAGAGTAGTGTGATCTCATGTCGTACTTTCAAATGTTTAGATGTTTCTGTCGGTGAGACATTTGTTATTGGGATTTCGTTTTCTAATATCGAAATATAACTATATATTATTGCGAAAACTTCATTGGTGAAAATGGAGTTTGCTCTTTGTGAGTTATGGTATTGGATGCTTTTTATATATTCTGAAAAAACTTTTGAAAATTCTAAATCAAGATCGTCTGTTTGAATTGTATATTTTCTATTATTATGGTTTGGTGAGGTGAATTCTATGGAGTAGATTCCATATTGTTGTGTTATGTTGCATATATCTTTTAGATAGTGATCTATGATTTGTCTTTTGATTTTTACATCGGGGAACTCTGTTTTACATGGACTGATTCCGGGTTCAAATAAATTTACGAGTAAATTTTGACAAAATATGTGTTGTCCTCTATCAGTATCTGCGTCTACTATAAAAGGAAAGATTTCATCATCATCTGGAGTTTCGTCACCTGGGGTGTGCGTTGAACTCATTTTTCCGTTCGATGACTGTTAATATGTAATTATTAATGTGTCGAATTGGTTGATTCCAATTGTATAAATGTACTGGTTTGTGTTTATACTGCTTTTTTATTCTTCTTTTTCCTCTTTGTGATGAATTTGAAGTTGTTTCTGAGTCAGAGAAATATAATTGATCGTGAATTGGGCAATTTTTATCTATTGATTCTTTTAGTTTGTAAAGTTCGTCTAAACTGTTGGTTTCTGATTCTGAAAATGCGTTTCGATTTTTTGAAAATCTTTTTCGTGTTATTTGTCTTTGTTTAGTTATTATTTTCCTCTTTAGTGTTTGTCGTTTTGTGCGAATGTATCCAACTGTTTGTGTATGAGGTGTGATTACAAGGTCGTATTTTTTGTTATCTATTTCACAATTGTGTAAAACTATTGTTTGTTTATTTCCTAGGTTTTTAAATGACATAAGGTTTAGGATGACGGATGCAAAAGGTTGTTAAATGGTTTCTATTTTCTTAAACTGTTAGTTCTTACGATTTTTTGGTTAGCTTAACCTGGGTCTGTTTGTTCAGGGTTGGAGAGAAAAGTATATCGATTCCGAAGAATGATTTTTTACTTTCTCGTGGCTAGTATAAGTTAAGGTGTTAACTTACTTAATCTTACTTAGGGGTAGTGATTGTGTTCAAGGGTTGGAGAATAGTAAATCGATCCACAAGGTTCAGGTATAATTAGAACGCGAGTAGTTCGTTAGATACTATTTTAAACTTACTAAGTCTAAGATTTATCCTGGGTCTGGTAAGAGGGGGGGTCAAGTGAAGGATGAATAACCGAAGTTCTTCACTGTTTATCCTAATTTGAATGATTAGTTTTGTTTAAAAATTTCTATTAGTCTTAGGTCTTTAGAAAGGGTTGGGTAGTGAATCGACGTTTGAGGTCGTTAGACACTAATTAAGTGGGTGGGGGAGAACAAAGTTGTTCTGTTTGATCCAAGGATAAGCCTTGATGATCAAATTTGAAATTTAATTAAGTAGAAAATGATTTAAGATCCAAGGATAAGCCTTGATGATCTGGTTTTAAAATTAAGTGAATTTAAGTTTTAATAAAATTTTAAATGTGTGTAAAGGAAAGATTTAGTGTTTTGATGATATTAGTGGGTTTATGATTGCTGTTATGTTTTAGATGATGAAGCTGGAACAACAGGATGATTTATGATTACTAACCATTTATTGTCATGCTACTAATTTTTATTTTTATTTTCCAATAAATATTTTTCAAACATGTTTTGTATAATACTGCAGAGTTTTAGGAAAACGATCTTAGATCTTTTTATCAATCGTTATTGTATATTAATAAATTTGTTTAGCGCCTGAAATGATTTTGCAGAGTAACTTCAAGGTTTTATGTTTGCAAATAGAAATCTAAATTCATTGCAAGTAGTATTCGAAATATAAAAGTTTGTTCTGGCTTTTGCCGAACTATCATATAACTATACGGCAAGTTTCTACTTTGTCGTATGTCGTCTTTGGTTCGAGGTCTTCTTCCAATTCCGGGTAGTTCTGTTATGGTTCGGAATATTGGCTCTGATCTATTGAGTCGTAGAGACATTTCGATTAAATTATTGTCGTATAACATTTTTGTAAATGTTTTTGTCTAATTTCTAATCTATTTTGGTTAATTCTAAGCTATTAAGGTCTTGTTCGAGACTTATGGTCGCACCAGATGAGTTAGGACCGAAGTGTAACTCATAGAGTAATTTCGGATAGGGTACACCGTCTGCTCGTCACGCTATCTTATTTTCGGCCGGATAGATTCGTGCAACTTCTTAGTCTAATACCGATCCTAATCTTACTCTTATACTATCTAGTCTCAGGTTGTTTAACTAGTCTCTGCTAGGCTCAATAGATCTAGGGTATACTGGTTTATTGCGGCTGCTGAAGTGCTCGGGAGAGTCCAACTAATTTCTAAGTTAAATTCAAATCTCTCTGGTGCTGAAATTACAAGTAACTTCAGCACTTACAAATAAGTGGGTTGTTAGTTAGATGGATCATGATTGGTTAATATTAAATACTTTACATTGGTAAAACATTTAATTTATCCAATCATAAAATGTAGTTTAGATCAGGTTCCACCAGGCTGGGTTCTTTGAAGATTCCTTTTTTAATGAAAAAAAAATCAAATTGAAAAAGTGAATCTGCACTGGTAACAGTTAATATACTATTTGTTTACATTCGAGTTGCTTGCTGACCTGAGGTATTGTTCTACATCTTCTTTGAGGATCTCGTGCCAGATTTCCTGGTCTATTTTGTTGCCAACCAACACAGTTGGAAGGAGTTTCAGGTCTTCTCCCCTCTCCTGAAAAATTGATGCATTAACTCTCACTAACAGAAACTAGACTATATTTTAACTAACCAGAAAAATACAATTTGTACCCTTTGACCATTGACCCTTGACCACCCCTTTGGTCCTATTAGGCCCGGCGGGTGAGGGGGGGGGGGGGTATTTGAGGGGGACGTGAAAACCTTCCAAAAAGTAGCAAGCTAGAGTTTTCTAGCGCTTTAGAGGTCGGAAAATCATCATTCTCAAAGTTGAAACGGATTATACTTTTCTTTGAAAAAAGCTTTGCAAAGCTTTCTGTTATTTAAAGTATCATTAGCGAATAGTTTGCGCTAATCAGACTCTCAAATCAGGGCATCATCAAAAAATAATGAATACTTTTTTATTTTGGCCAATTAGAGCAAAACTTTTTGCAGCTAATTATTAAGAAAAGGTAAGTAATCTGGTAACTTCCCAAATGGCATAAAAAAGAAACTTTTCTCAAAATGACATAAATTTCAAGTTTTCGTTGTAATTCAAACGTTTTCTATCAACTTCTTTTTCTAAAGTTTTGTCAGGAACAAAAACGTGATTAAGTTTTTGATTTAATTGCTTCCAGTCAAATGCTAAGCGACAATTTTGTCGGAAAAATTGGCCACAAGAAACGTATCAATAGTCGCAAGCTTATGCTTTTCGTTTTTGAAAAATCTACAATTTTGTAAGATAAAACGTCAAAAAACTTTTGAATTGACATTTTGACTAAATTTGGTTAGTAAAAATTGGTTCCCGAAAAAGTTTTGTGATTTTTTTAATGCAACTGTTGCATGAAATTTATGCCATTTGGGAAATTTTTCATTTTAATGCCATTTGGGAATTATGCCATTTGAGACGTAATCAGTAATCTCATTTTAATTGCTGCTACAATTGATCAACTTTTCTGCATAAATATTCATAATGCACTTTTCATCACGCAAATTGCCTGAAGGTATGAATTGTTGGCGCTTGCTTAATGGCAAATTGATCGAAATACTGCGGAAAATTATCGATGTTTACGTCAGATTAAGACGAAGTTATAAGCCTAATTTCCTAGCTGAAATTATGCTCAAATAAGTACAGCCGGTTTTAAAAGCGTTCTTAATTGACGCGGGAAGTCAATGCAGACTTAAAAGCCGATAAATTTGGTTGATTGGGCTTGATGAAGAGTTTTAATCTAGTTTATCTAAATAAAGGCTAACACCTCTATAAAACCACGAGCATTTTTTGAGCCTAACTGATTCCTGCTGAGCGTTTTCTGCGACAGAATAAAAGCTAACACCTCCATAAAATAACGAAGAACTTTTTTGAGAGTAATTGATCCATTTTTGCGTTTTTTGCGAGAAAATAAAAACTAACACCTCCATAAAATCAAGCAATTTTTTTGAGAAGAATTTATCCTTCTTTTTGCGTTTTTTTTGCGAGAAATTAAACGGTAACACCTCCATAAAATCAAGCAATTTTTTTGAGAATTATTGATACATTTTTTGCGAGAAAAAAACTAATACTTCCATGAAATAACGAATCGAATAATTTTTTTGATAGTAATTCATCCATTTTCTTGCATTATTTTTGCGAAAAAAAATAAACAACACCTCCAAAATATTTCGAAACAAAACTTTGGATGAGTACGTGATCCATTTGTTTAAGTTTGCAAACAACTCTGTTTTTGCTAACTTCAATCTTTGAAGAATTTGTAAGCTTCAATCATTACTTACTATAGTCTAACTTTGTTTCTTGTCAATCAACTAGTTTTTGAAGCTAACTTCGAAACTTTCTGAAGAGCCAAGTCGAGTTTAGAATTTTTCTTTATTTTCAAGAGACCAAGACGTGATCTACAATAGTATCATCTAGGTCAAACTCATCGGTGGGTTCTTAACTAAATACAAGACTGAAGCGGAAACTGAATTTAGCCAGTTAATGTCTTCCAATCGGGAACGTTACTTAAAGACTTTGGTTGAAATCTTTTCAATTTTTGGGCTTAATTTTTTATAAGTTTTAGTTTTATTTCAGGATTCAGAGAAAACAGTCAATCAATTTTGAAAAAGTGTTGAATTTCCCCACGCGTGAGTTAGTGAGTGGACTGTTTTGAGTCAGATTGCGATGCAACAAAGAGAACGCCTGCAGCGCCTTCAGCCTCAGGCAGCTGAGATGTGGCCTCAGAAACCTGAAGAACAGGAAGAGCCCGGGACATGACGAGATCAGCAACGAAATCCTGAAACATCTTCCCCAGCCGCAGAGGAAACCCTCCTCCATCTGATAAACCACTCCTGGGACTCTGGCAACACTCCCCACGGTCGGAGAAGGGCAATTATCATACCCATCTTCAAAGGGAAAGGGAAGGCCATGGAGAAACCCAGCAGCTACCGACCAGTCGCACTCACTAGCTGCACCGCGAAGCTGGCGGAACGTCTCGTCGCCACCCGCCTCGTCTACCACCTGGAGTCGAAGAAGAAACTGGCCCCTTGCCAAGCTGGCTTTCGTAGAGGCAGAAGCACCGAAGAACAGCTAGCGAGAGTGACCCAAGATATCTTCGACGGCCTAGAGGCCAAGGAACCTCGCCGTGCCGCCCTCGTCTTGCTAGACTTCAGCCGTGCCTACGACAAGACGTGGAAGGCAGCCCTCTACGTGAAGCTGAAGGACCTAGAGGTGCCGACGTGCATGATCCACTGGATCAAAGGCTTCCTAGCCGACAGACGAGCTAGGGTGCGCTGGAATGACACCCTCAGTAAGGATCGTATCTTCAGGGAGGGACTACCACAAGGATCCGTCCTGGCACCAGCGCTGTGGCTTTGTTATTGCAACGACATCTGGCAGACAGTCCATGACAGAGCCCCGGACTGTGGCCTCAGCCTCTTTGCCGATGACACTGCACTGGTTGCCTCCGACCGAGAGCTTAAGAAATGCGTCACCAAGCTTCAACCGGCCCTGGACGCGGTCACCGAGTGGTGCTGCCGCTCGAAAGTCCACCTTGCACAGTACAAAGACGCGGCCGAAAGCAAGTGCTGCTACACTTTGTTCACGCTAGATCCAGCGGAGAACAACAATAAGACCAAGCTCTCTTTCACCCTCGCCGATCACCCAGTGAAGTTCGAGAAAACCCCTACCTTCCTGGGGCTGAAACTAGACTGCCAGCTGACATTTGCCGCACACGCTGAAGATGTCAAGAAACGGATGGCAAAGAGACGCAACGGCCTTGCTGCCATAGGTAGACGGTCTGTCGGGACCTCCCAACACAACCTCAGAGCAGCCTATATCGCCACCACCCGCGCGGTCGCGGACTACTCTTCTGCAGTCTGGATGAACCATGCCCAGCCATCGACCCGTAAAGCCGTAGAAGCTGCTCAAAACAAGTGTGCTAGAGTAATAACAGGATGCATCTGACTCACCAACGAGAAAGCCCTTCTCGCCTGCGCCGACCTCCCGCCTCTCCGCCAAGTCGCTCAAGAGAGGCGTCGGTGCTCCGCGAGCGCCTACTCCGCATCCCCGACGACGTCCCAGCGCACAAGACTGCCAAAGCCTGGGTACAACCAAGACTAAAAAGCCGGACCCATGAATCCTGGAAGAGGAACAACGACCACGAGCCAGATGACACCGACACCCTCAGGACACACCGAGGCTGCTGGAGGAGAATCGCGACAGAGATAGACTGTATTGCCGAGCTGGACAGCTTCCCCCGCGAACAGATTAGTTGCCAAATTGCTCCTTGGACACTGTACCAATCGGAGACCTTCTTCAGCCTTGACTTGGCAGACAGAGACATCAAGAAGGAGAAGTGCGACTCCCAAGTCTCCATCACCAATGACCTACTGGATCCCCTACTGGAAGGATGAC